ACTTTGCAGGTAAATGGATGGAACTAGAAACTGTTATACTAAGTGAAGTAAAACCAAGCCAAAACAAAAAACAACATATGTTCTCCCTCATATGTGGATCCTAGCACCAAATCCTGATAAGTGAGTATGTATCCAGACACAACTACAGGAACCAGGATAATGAAAAGGAACCAAGGAGGTAAAGGAAAAGAAAGAATCTGAAAAAAAAAGAACAGTAGGGAACAGGCCTTAATAAGGGAGATATGGATAAAAATGGTTCTTTTTAAGAGGAGCGGGTAGGGAAGGTTATACAAGGAACCTAGGGGATAAAGGGAAAGAAGGTGCTCAAGAGAGATGCAACCATAGGAGAAGGATATTATTAAGGGAGAAATGGGAAAATGGGGGTATTTTAAATGGGGAAACCATGGTGGAAGGGTTAGACAATGCAAGAGTAAATAATGCCTAGCTAGTTTTAAAAAAAATCAGAGGGAACAATATTAATCAAACAACCTACTGACAAATTATACATACAACTAGCTCAAGGAATATAATATATATCTAGGTAAGGTTTATCTGAGAACATTTGGTCTTTGCCCAAGGTTTAGCTACATGGCACAAGGTAATTGAAAGTACCAGACTGGTAGAACTAACCTTCTCGGATGTTTAACAGACATACTTTGAGGCCTATACTAATTTGGTCAAAGGGACATAAAGGACAGTTTTGTTCCTTGCCCTCCTAGGTTGACTAAGTTCCAGGGGACTATGAGCATCTCTCAAAATGCGGTGACTGCAGTGAGTCACCTTTCCTCTTGATTAAGGAGGCCATGGAGATCCATGGACTGGAACCAGTGTCCAGTGTCCAGTCTACAGAGATGAGGGTCAACACAGAGGAAACATTTCCTCCATGCTTCCAAGTGAAGCCAGCCATGGTTGAGCAGGACCTTTGACTTATCTTCACATAGATGGAATTGGTAAAAGAAAGGAGCCAGGGGCTTCTCCCAAGCCCCATGTGACTCCTGAAGAACAGCTCCTCAAACAACCTTAAGAGTAAAAATAGTTTTATCTGGGCCAACTGTAGGGTCTTAAACACCCCAAAGGAAAGTATAACCAAAGATTAAAGGGGTCAATATAATTTTTTAAGATTCCATATGTAGAGCTAAAGGCTACATAACAAGAAACAATGCCAGACAGGAGATACCTTCATTTGAATTGTTGGCCAGGGTGGCCCAAGCAACTCCCAGACAGTAACGCAGTATAGAATTGGGAAAATGAACAGCAGGCCCCAATCTTATCTAAAGGAATATTAGCAACTGATTGCTGGTAGATGAGGAAGAGCTAATCTTCTTAAAACAAGGAACTCTAGATAGGCTTACTAGATTCAGTGGATGGACAAGCCCTGGGGAATGACTGGAGATGTCGGCAACACAGTGGATAGTAACAGGGATGATAGAGTATATGGGCTCCAGTGGGGGGGAGGGGGAGGCTTTGGAAGGGTGCCATTTGGGAAGTGGGTATATAGATGAATAAGATTGTTTGGGACGTTCTAGATGATACACACACAAAAAAAATAAATTAAAAAATGAGGTATATTTGAGGAATAAGCATAAAAATTTGCTTCATGTTAATTAGAGGTGAAAAATATTACCATTGAAATCTACCTGATGACCTTATCTCCATACTCAGGTACTAAGGATCTGAGTGTAACTGACTGTGACTAGTAATAATCAGATACATAGAGATTAGAGACGCATGTGCAAACATGTGTTAGTAGCATTAAAAATGAGTTTTTTTGTAGGAAATAGTATATCTTAAAATGAAATGGAAAACTAGTTTAAAGGTTAAAACCTCATTCAATTTTATGTCTTATAGGGTTTATACTGAGTATGATACTGTATAACTCTTAATTCAACCTAAAAATTTACAGCCACTTTTGAAAGAGATGTATCTTTGCTCTGGAAATTGTTATTGAATGTTAATTCTGTAATGAAATGCTTCTTCTAATTATGTAGTTATTAGATAAGTAATTAAAAAAATAAAAAGAACATAAAGGCAAAGATGGTAAGGGCTACTGTCACACTCAAGAGTATGGGCTGGGAGTACTGTTTGAACCTATGAGTTTTGAGGCCTGTCAGGGCACCACAGTGAGACCCTGACTCAAAGTGAGATCTTAGACCTTAACTCAAAGAAAAACAAACAACCTCTCCCAAACCAAAGAGTATCTGTATTTGTTCTGGTTACACAAGTTTATGCTGCTTCAAGTCATCTGATCATTCAATGTGGTTTTTTAACTAACTGAACTTCAAACTGTGAGCGTGTTAATGCTGTGCTTTTTGCTGCCCAGGACTGGTACCTGACCCAGCTCGTTATGTGCAAGAGCTTCTGGTACTGTACTCAGAGTGACTGACTTCTGGGAAAAGAAGGAAGCTGGGCCTTATCAAAGCAGTGCTGAATCAGGTGTAGGTACTTACAATGAGCTGCTTCAGACCCACAAAAGACTGTTCCACCGAGCTGGCAGTTAAGACTTGTCTCTTTGCTGCAGCTTTCTCACCCAGGAAGCGAAGCATCAAGTCCTTAACTGCATCTCCCTAGAAAGAATGTGGGAAAACAGGTGGAGACAATGAAATAGTCACTAAACCCAGCTAGCATAGTGCCTGCCCCTTAGCAGGCTCTGCCAGAACCTAAGCCAAAATGTGCAGTTTTACAACTACTCTTTAATTTGAGGGGAAATGTAAGTCACCCCCTTCAACCAGATGACAACCTGGTCAGGAGAGGGGCTTTTGGTGATGGGCCCAGGAAGGGCACCAAGGGGTGAGGTGAGATACTGGAGACAAGGGCTTACGGTCACTCAGAGAAGCATCACGTGGCGGTCTGAACAGAGTCTCCTGGGATACCTTAGGCGTATATATGAAGAAGCTGCCTCCAATGGCTTGCTGTGGCCCCTTCTCTATTGTTGCAGCCTTGCTCCAGGGCTCTGGGCTCGCAAGAGTTGGAAGGAACACCTTAAAACTGCCTCTGCACTGAAGTAATCTTATCTCCCAACTTGATTCCTTAGATTATGCCCATCTGGAGACAACCTGAAACGTGTTACTCATTTTAAAAGGCAGTCACAGAAGGATGAGAAAGGAAAAGGTTCATGTGCGTGGTCCAGGGAGAAAGGTGCTGAAGACTTGGAATGACCAGGGAGAACCTAGCCCATAGGAAGGTGGGATGAGTCAAAGCATGAACTAAGGTGATCACTGTTCATAGGCTCCCATGATTCCCCAAGGCTACAGGAGCAAGGTGACTGACATACTGCTGAGCTGCAAATTACCAAGTCGATGGCACATGGGGACACACACTCACCATGCTTATGCCAAGAAGGAATAGCAGTGCAGACCTCCGTGCTGTTCGGGTGGCTGCATGGGCTGAGGGAGAGCCTAGGCCTGCTTGCTGGTCATGCTTTCTATCCAGCAGATGCCACCTGAGTCTCCTGTTCTGCTGACCTACAGAGAGGGAGGCCAGCAACCCTCACAGCAGGGTCACATGAACTACAGCCTTCAGTGCTGTTTCTGCCTGTGTGGTCAGTCCAGTGCTTAGAGAGGCCAGGTCATGCATCTTCCTACACTGGGGCAAATATCTAAAAGCAGTAATTTTAAAATTTCTGCTTTTGGAACATAAGATGAAATACTTCAACAATCACAGCCACAAGAGTAGCTAAGTGATCTAGAACTTAGGTTATTGGAAATATGTTCAGGGTCTCAAAGGAAGAGACCACCACCACTCCCATTAAAGCATCTTGACACAGCAAACCTTCACTCTGAACAGAAGGGTGCTCTACTCACAACAGAGATGGAGAAGCAAACACATGGAATAGAGGATAGGACACACTTTTTATCCTAACTCCTAACGCAATAATACTGTCTTTTCTCCATGGCTGGGGTCCAACCTCAATCTTTCACAGTTGGCTGAGAATCTGTGCAAAGGAAGAAAAGGAGAATGGAGGGGGGGTTGACCAAAGAAGGGGAAAGGCTCAGCCTCCCCACATTCCCAGGCCATCATAATTCCTGGAATGTATCAGGACTCTTTTCTTCTTTCTTAGCCAAAAGCTTTACAGGGTGGGTGTTGGGGCCGATGAAAAGATGAGAATTCTTGTCATAAATCAAAGTTTTTATGGTGGGGAGGGGGTGATTAGAATATTAGAATTCTTTGTAAAATATTTTATAGTGTTTGAAAGAAAAGACCAATATTTGATGTTTCTTACAAGGTTTAAAGGACAAATTAAAAAGGGCTGAAACCTCTGATTCCATAAACTACAAAAATGCAGCTTGTGTTACTGAAGCTACAGAAGCAGCAAAGTGGGCAAAAAGCAAAACCAAATCTGGAGGCCGGGTAAGACAGCTGGGTTTAATTCCGCCATCCCAGAGACACTTAATGAGATTACACCATGAAAAACTTTTGTCCTTAACATTCTGTTCATTGAAGTTTAGTTACTAGAGCCTGGCAAGATCGATCAGTGGGTAAAGGCACTCACCATACACCATGCAAGGCTGGTGAGTGGAGGCTAAAACCCATGTAAACTGGAAGGAGAGAATGACTCTATAAAGTTGTCCTGACCTCCACATGCATTTTGTGGAACACCCCACTCACAACATGCAAACACACAATTCTGTGGAACTGCCCCCACAAAATACACATATACTACTCTGTGGACCCCCCAACATGTACATAAACTATTCTGTGGAATCCCGCCCCCACATACAACATGCACATACACTAAAACATAATTTTTTTTGGTTTAAAAGGTTTAGTTACTACAGGAGATTAAGGGGGTAGAAGAGTATGTCTCTTCTAGGACAACTGAAAGATGTGATCACACATCTTAGGACAAACCCTAAGCCTGCTGTGTCCCTAAGCTGAAGGTAAAGACATCAGGGGAGCTGGGCGTGGTGGTACACATCTTTAGTCCCAGCACTCGGAAGGCAGAGGCAGGCAATCTCTGTGAGTTCAAGGCCAGCCTGGTCTCCATAGTGAGTTCCAGGTCAGCTGGGGCTACAGAGAGACCCTGTCTCAGAAGGACCAAAAAAAAAAAAAAAAAGTTGTTAGGGGAGATCATGGCATTGCAGACTTTACATTGCTTGTGGCCTCCAGGGTGAGAAGATGTCGCCTCTACTATAGCAAGTCCTGCTACTGCAATATGCTGGTATCCAGTAGGAACCTGAGTTATCCCTAAGTCAGTAGAACAGGATCCGCTCTATCCCAGGCTCCTGAGATCTACATTGTCCCAGGAGATGGAGGACATGGAGGAAATGTAAACCAGCCAGGGTCTTGCCATGAGAATCCACCCCAGTTCTCAAAGCTCAAGTTGGCCAGAGGCCTGCCGTATCTCCTACAGAGTGGGGAGGCTCAGAGGTCCTGCTTCTGCTGCAGAACAGGAGCAGAGCTGCTGACTAGTGATGTAGACCTTGCTGTCTAGGACACCATAGAACCAAATATTGAAGTTCAGCCACTGAAAAAAGGGCAGTATCTGCCTGTGGCCCGGGAAACTGAGCTTCCTGCCACAGCTTCAAGAGAGAATGGTGGCCAGTCACCCAGGAGCAGCCTGCTCCCTGCATAGAACCAACAACTACAAACAGAACAGAACCCAGACTGGAGGGTATAGAGAGCCTGGAGGGGGAGGGGAGACTGGAGGGGGTTGGGAGACTGGAGGGGGTGGAAGCTGGAGGGAGTTTCTTAAAATGTCAGACATAGTTACCATACAATCCACAACTCCAAACCTGGCTTTGCAGCCAAGAGAACTCAAAGTGTTCACACACACACACACACACACACACACACACACTCTCTCTCTCTCTCTCTCTCTCTCTCTCTCATGGCAACTTGCACATGACTGCTTACTGTAGCAATTCTCCAACATCTAAAGGTAGAAACAGCCCTAGTGTGTGAGCAGGTAAGGTGGACATTCCATGCAAGGGGCTATTTATTGTCTGGGGATGAACAGGAACCATACATCATATGGGCCACAGCATGCAGACTCTGAATCAGAGAAGCCAGATCTTCATCAGAGAAGACACTGTCTGGTATGATCCCATTTATATGGAGTGTCTAGAACAAGGAAATCCAGGGGGATAGAAAGTAGTTTAGAGGTTTTCCGGAGTTAATGGGTATAGGGGGTGAGGAGTGACTGATAATGAATTTAGCAGTTTAGGGGCAAAAATATTCTAAATATTGATTGTGGCAATGGCTAATGGTTACAAAACTGTCAACATTATGCAGAGCCACTGAATTTGTGTTTCAAATGCTTGATTTGTATAGTATGCCATTTATATCTCAATAAAGTGAAACCCAGAATCAAACCTGAGTCATTTTCTCAGGAGGCCTTCAACTAAAGCTTAAGAGAAAGTTCTCCCAGGCAAAGTGGCTTTGGGGTGTTACAAATGGCTACACAGGCATGTGCACCTACCCTCGCTCACTCACAGCTCGCTCAGTTTCAGAAAGGGAAGAGTCCTTCTGTGAGTGTGGTAAGCAAAAACTACAGCAGCAGTGGTTGCTCTGGCTACTGCCAAGGGCCCTAGAACTAGACTTGCTGTCCTTCTGAGTGCATCTGAGCCCTGGACAGATTCAGTGCCTGTCATGAGAGAAGGGAGCTGAGCTAACCAAAGGTGTTTTCTGGGTTGTGGAGTGGCTTGAGACTCCCAAGTAGAGTATGGTGAACTTGCTGAGGGTGGGGGTTGCAAGGAGAGTGAGCTGTTGGGAACTAGCAGGGAAAAGACTTTCAAGTCTGCATAGTGGTGCTCTGGAGAGGGAGCAATGGCTGCATCCTGAGTTCAACAGCCCAGGGCTCACACAGGGCAGAAAGCTGGCGAGTATGGGCAGTACTCACCTGCCTCCTGCATAAAGCACATGTTTTTTGAAGGAAGATACATACTGTGCAACACACATGGTGAAATTCAGTGTCTACTCTAAATTTCCAGATGTGAAAAAAGTACCTAGAGTCCCAAACTAAGAAAAGTTCTGGAGATAAAGTCACAGGGGAAAAATAAATCACTGAGATCAGCAGCAAACTAAAAAAGTATAAAAAAAAGATGACTGAATTTAAAGACATGCAACAGGAATTCCAAGCTTAGTCAGTGACAAGGGCTGAAAAATTGAAAAATACCCAAACAGATCTTTAAGAATCTGGCAATAACAAGCGGTATGTGGAGTTAGAATTTCAGAAGTGTGTGTGGTATGTGTGTGTGTGTGTGTGTGTGTGTGTGTGGTATATGTGTGTATGTACATGTGGTATATGTATCTATGTGTGCATGTATGTGTGTGTGTGTGTGTGTGTGTGTGTGTGTGTGTGGTGTGGTGTGTATGTATGCATGTGACCCAAAAAATATTTGAAGAAACAGTGACCAAAATCTTCAAAACTGACAAAAATGACTGGGAGAGGGCCAGGCGTGGTGGCACATGTCTTTAGACCCAGCACTTGGGAGGCAGAGGCAGGTAGATCTCTGTGAGATCCTAGCCTGGTCTACATAGTAAGCCCAGGCCAACCAGGACTACACAGTGAGACTCTCTCTCCAACCAACCAACCAACCAACCAACCAACCAACCAACCAACCAACCAGATCCTCTTTCCCCCCCAAAAAACCCAGAAAGGGATATCAGAATCAAACTTCCGAAAAGTGGGCAATAAGCTCTTAAAAGCAACCAGTGAAGAAATACACTGTAGAGTAAAAGCAAAAACTACTAAAAGGGAAATATGAAGGTCTAAAGCGCTGAAATGAAAGTCACTAAAAATAAAAATGTAATAACTTTTTCAAACTATTAACAGAGGAGAGAATCTGTAGAAGCCAACAGGCCTGAACTAAGAAACAAAGGTTTTAGCCCTTCAAAAGACACCACAGGAAAATGCAATAGCAGGTCAGTGAACTGTCTAAGCTGGTAAAGGCACGTGCCTAGTTTGGACAGCCTGAAGACCTGAGTTTGATCCTTGGGATCCACCTGGTGGAAGAGCACAGATTCACATACATGCACACTGTTGTGGGTGTGATGTGCCCACACATATATACACATACAATAAGTAAATAAATAAAATGAGATAAAAATAAAATGTAATAAGGCATAGAATAGGGAAAATATTTGCAGTAAATATCTCGCTTCCACCCAGAATATTTAAAGAACTTTTTCCTCTGATTTTTTTTACTGAGGTTTTGTGCATTTCATATAATACATGTTAATTAAATTTAGACCCCCTTCAAGTCAATAACAGTAAAACAGATATTCAAGGTTTTTAAAAGAGAGGGTGAAAATTTAAACAGATAACTTCACAAGATGATACAGTTTTTGCCTTTGCACTTCACAAGGGCTGGCAAGATGACTCAGTAGATAAAAGGTACTTGCTGCCAAGCCTGACTACCTGAGTTCGAGCCCCAGGATCCACACATGGAAGGAGAGAACCAACTCCCTGAAGTTGTCCTCTTATCTCCATGTGCACCTACCTACAAATAAATAAATAAATAAATGTAAAAAGAGGCTACACAAATGGCCTCCAAGTGTTCAGAGAATGCAAATTTAGATTCTAACGGCTATGTGACATGCCCATTAGAACTAAATAAATAAAAATGAAAACAATAGCAGCAGCACAATATCCCCAAACTTGACTTGAACAAGGATATGTGACATTCATACATTGGTGAAGAAGATGTAAAATGGTGCACCCATTTGGAAACCAGGGTAGGTACTCATTATAGAATTAAACACAAATTTATCACAAAACAAGCTGTGTACAGGGAGGTTTTTATTCTAGAGAAATGAAAACAATGGGATATTACCACACACAGGATTATATATGTATCCCTGACCTTGAACTCCTTTATCCTCCAGCCTCAGTGGATTACCAAGGAGTACCATGTCTGGTATAAACATTTTATTTTTTATTTGAAATATTTGACACACAAAAATGTGTATATTTAAGATGTTCAATGTGATGATTAGATATATGAATATGGTGTCCTGAATAAAACAAATTAACCCCATCACCAGCCATTAGCTACTATGGGGGGGTAGTGCAGGGATACTTAGTACCTGTTCTCAAGATCTCACTCACCCAGCTTAACTCAAAGTTTGTTTCCACTAACCAACATTCTATGCTTCTGGCACTACCAACTCTTGGTATCTATCACTGAATTAGCTGGTATGAGTTCAGCTTTTATGATTCCACATGGAAGATTACGAAGTATTTGTCTTTGTCTTTCTGAGTTATTTAACATCACATCCTTCATGTTTTTCCATTTTGTCAAAATTTCAGGGTTCTCTTTTTAAAGACTGAATCTACTGTGTGTCTATCTACTATCTTTTTTTCTCTTTCTTTCTTTCTTTCTTTCTTTCTTCAATCACTCACTCACTCACTCACTCAATCAATCAATCAATCAATCAATCATCTCTGTAATTTATCCATTCATTGAGAAATGGATACTTGTCTCCAAATGACCTTTTTAATGAATGTTGCTATAACAAACATGGCAGTGAAGCTTTCTCTGAAATGCTGACCAGTTCCTTTGGCTACACACCCAAGAGTTAGGGCTGTTGGATCATATGGAATTCTAGTTCTAATTTTCTGAAGCATCTCTGTACTGTGTTTATATGCTTTACTAAATTATATTTGCAGTAAGACTGCTATCATCGGTCTTTCTGCTAGCACCCATCCTAACAGGCATAAGATGACATTTCTTTGTGATTTTGATTTGCATTTCCAAGATGATTAGTGGTGCTTCTAGTTCTTCAGCTCAAAGATCTGAACACAATTAATCATCAACATGATAGCTATACACTACAGTGTAAGACAGAGAGCCCAGAACCAAGGCAAAAGCCCTGAGAAGGCAGCTGGTGCAGCCACTATGGAAACAATTCCTCGGTATGGAGGTGCTGCAAAGAACTCCAAGTACAACTATTACAGGAGTGGGGTGTGGTGGCACAGGCCTGTGAGCCTGCACTCAGCTGGCTGAGGCAAGAAGTTTGTGAGTTTGAGGTCAGCTTGAGTTACATAGTAAGTTCAAGGGCAACTTAGGATATGTAGGGAGATCCTGTCTAAAACAACAACAAAACAAAAACAAAATCAACAAACAAACTACCAGCTATACCATCTGTGGTACATATCCAATGGAATCTGAGTCAGCATAGCACAGAGATGCCTGAACATCCATGCTATCACAGCACTAGTCACAACAGTCAAAATATAGCACCAGTTCAGGTTCATAGACAGATGAATGGATAAAGAATATGTGCTACATATATTCAGCCACAAAAAGAAAGAAATGATGACATTATCAGGAACTGAAGGAAGTGATAATCATGTTAAGTGAAATTAAACAGAACCAGAAAGACAAATATTCCATGTTTTCTGTCATACGAGGAATCTATTTTCAAAAATACCTGGAAAGGCTAGTGGTAGTTCACGTCTTCAATCCTCAGCACTTGGGAGAGACAGGCAGATCTCTGTGAGATCAGGCTAGCCTGGTCTATATAATGAGTTCCAGGCCAGGTAGAACTACAGGAAACCCTGTCTCAAAAAACTAAGGGGCTGGAGAGATGGCTCAGCAATTAAGAAAATTTGCTGTTCTTCCAGAGGACCAGGGTTTGATTCCTAGAACCCAATGCCTGGTAAATAGTAAGCCTAGCGTGAATATAGGGGCAGCACATGAATATTTTGCATTATTCACATTTTATAGAAAGAGATACCATGGATGAGATGTGAACACAGAATCCTCCTCCGCTTACCTGAATGTTGTCAAACTTGAGGCCTGGCATGGTGAGGTTCTCCTTGTCTATGAACACAGTGCTGTACTGCTGAGTTGCCACCGACATCAGGACCTCTCTGGTCCCCTGGCTGGGAAGCCACGCATCATTCCTTCGGTCCATCTCGCTCATGCTCAGGGCTGTGGCGAAGGGGTCATCACTCCCAGCAAACACAGCCTGTATCTGTGAAAATGGCTTTGGAGACTCAGGGATTTCCAGAGAGGTGGAAGAAACACCCGATTCTGACCTTTCCATCCCTACAGAGTAAGAGGGGCTGGCAGAATCTGGAGACTGTTCTCCCACAGGGGCAGTGAGCGAAGACAGTTTTTCTGGAACGGAAGAGCCTGCATTGGGATTGCTGACTGAAATGAAAGTAGAAGTGGTGAAGGAATCAAAGAAATCAGAGGCCAGGGAATTAGCATTCACTGTATCACCAAAAAATTTACTCAGGCTGGGACTGGGCTGGACCATCTGAGGAGGGGTCTTGGCTGAGGTCTCACTGGCACTGCTAAAACTGGGAGACTTCACCATCTGGGACTCAAAGCCATCCTGCAGAAACAAGTGCGGCTGGGAGGGGGCATGGTTGGCCTGGTTGAAGATGGTGCACACTGGCACGGGTTCGTCTTTAGAGGAGGACTGGCTGGAGGACACCTCTGAAGCCTGTTCTTCTGGGCGAGATTGGCCATCCCTGGGCCCCAAGTCCCCGGTGCTAGCATTCCCCAATGCAGACATGCCAGTCACATCTTCCTGTGTTGAGTCTTCTTTCAGAGAGGCTCTGCTATCAGGGGTCATGTCAGAAGCATCTCTGGGTGTATCATCTCCTTCCATTTCACTGTCGTTACTCAGGATATCCATTTCTTTGTCTGTGATGCTATCCAGTCTGTGATCAGAGCCACCTTCTGTGGGCTCCACAACATCTTGCAGACAGCTGAGGTCGCCCACATCACCCTCACTGTTATTAGGAGAGTCGGAGATGAGTACGCTCTCCATCATGTGCTCATTAAGCTTTTCTACAAAGTTGTGAGAATCTTCGGATATGGGCTCGTTCTCTTCAGACCCAAACTCATCTCCACCAAGATCAATGGTCTCCTCATGGTACAGCAGCTGGCTCTGCTCCTCCTGAGACAGCTGCTCAGGGCTGTTTTCAGATCCTGCCTGGTCCAGAGGTGGCTCCTCACCTCGGCTCTGCTCAGCGTCTTTAGCTTTCTCCATGTTGTCTAAAACAAAGACAGCCATAAATCAACATACCGTCTATTTCAAGTATTATTAACCTACTTGCTTTTTTGTCATTGTTTTGTTTTGAGACAAGGTCTCATATGACCCAGGCTGGATTTGAATTCACAATCCTCTTGCCTCAGTCTCTGTAGCTGAGATTAAAGGAGGGCACCATCACACTTGTTTTTCCACATAAGGAATATTTATATATATTACCATTTAATATTCATATTCAAATGGTTCAAAATTGGAAATTTTTCTTTCTGCAGTTTTTTTATTTATTTTTAATTCTGGTAAAATACACGTGGAATTTACTACTAACCATTTTTAAGCGTACAGTCTAGCAGAGCCATGTACATTCACACTGCTGTCCGAACAACCTCCAGAATTTGGTCATCTTGCAAAATTAAAATTCTTCACCTGTTCAGTAAAACCCCCGTACTTATACCCAGACAACCACCATGCTACTTTCCATCTCTCTGAATTTGCTAGGGAACTCATGTAAATAGAATCACAAGCTATTTATCATCACATCATGGTTTATCCATTGTAATGCTTTATCCAGTGTAAACTGTCATGTGCTGTTTAAGCTTACTGTGAAGCTGGCTCTGCAAGTGGGATATGTCCACCACCACCCTTCCCTTCAGACATTTGTCTCAAAGTGTTCTATAAGGCCCTTGTCTGGGGATGGGCTGACCCCTTGGCTCTGTGACAAGGAGAATAGCAAAACAACCCAAGAGTAAAAACACTGTGCTCTTGAGAACAGCTAGAAGGTAAACCATTTGCAGCAGAAGATTACTATTGCTTATCTCACAGTACAAGAAAGCCTGTGGTGAGGACAGGAAGCAGGAAGTTCATCCAGAGAGATGCTTTGCTCTGTCAGGGACCCTCAATAAGGAACTCCAGACTGACAGTTGCTTCCTCGGTTGAGTTCTGCTGGATGCCACACCAGACTGAAAGGTGTTGTGCCCTTTGCTCCTTCTCTTCACTTTCTACTTGTTCTCTAGTATTGCTTGTTTCATGCTTAATAAACTCACTCATCTGGAATGGAAGGAATGGCTGTGGAAGACCATTCTCTAGACTGTACAGAACACCTATGTTGTAGCATGTGCTAGAATTCCCTTCCTTGTAACAGCTAAATAATATTACACTGCAGTTACATAGCAGCTTATTTATCCATTGTCCTCATAATACACTTGAGTTTCTTCTACCGTTTAGCCATTGTGCATAAGGCTATGGATAAAGGTGAGACTCTGTTTGGTATGACAAATCCCAACTCCCAGAAACAGAGCTGCTGGATCACATACTGTTTTTATTTTGAAGAACCGCAAAGTTTTTTTCATAACAGAACCATTTAAAATTTTTCCTCAATAGTGTAGAAGCATTCCAACTTCACCACATCCTGCCCAATACTTAATTTTTGTTCTTAGCTTTTTAGTAATATGAGAATTTTCTTTTTAAGTCAGGGTCTTATGTAGTCTAGGTTAGCCTTGAACTCCATATGCAGTAGATGACCTTAAACTCCTGATCCTCCTGTCTCAACTTCCAACATACAGGCAGAGCTAGCATTCCCATTTATTTTTACATTTATTTATTTATCTTTGTGTGTGTGTGTGTCCACCCTCCAGGTCTGCCATGGTGTGAGCATGGAGGTCAGAAGACAATCATCAGGAGTTGGTGCTCTTCTTCCACTATGTGGGTCCCAGGTATTGAACTCGGATTTCAGGCTTGGTGGCAGGCACCTTTACCTGCTGAGCCATCTCATCAGCCTTCATTTATTCTGGACACTACTTTTTCTTTTCTTTTTTAAATATTTGAGATGGGTCTTCCTACTTATCCCAGAATGTCCTCCAACTTGCAGTCTTCCTGGCCCACCCTCCTTCCGGCTCACAGGCACGTTGCCTACTGCTTACTCTCCAGCTCTCAGCTACAGTCTGTCCCTTGCACCATGACCCTCAAGGCACTCCGGCCTCTTGACAGTCTTCACCCTGCTTTTGGCTTACAGTAGGGCAACGAGGAACTGTACAGCAGGAGCTACAGTCAAATAGCTCGCTGTTCGGGCTCCAACTGTAACTGCCGGAACCCCGCGCAGAGGAGGCGGGGAGAGCGGTGACCCCGGCGCGGACGCCGCCCTCCGTGGGAAGGCCGCGGATCCCTGCCGACCCTCCTGACTGCGACCCGCTCCTCACCTGCCGCCTGCCCAGGGCCGGGTCACCCGCGGGTGAAGAGGGTCCAAGGAACTGACTGGGCACCGGAAGCAGACTCAAGACCCAGTACCCTCGCCTGCAGGTCCCTGACGTCCCCCCCCCCCGCCCCGCCCCGCCC